GCGCGTTGCGCTGCAGCTTCCAGTGCGGGTCGCTCGGCGCCATCAGGCGCGAGGTGCGCTCCGCGCTGTCGTGCGGCCCGCGCAGCGGCACGGGGCGGTAGCGCTGCCGCGACTGCATGGCAATGCCATAGGCTGCCACCTGCTCGCCGCGCTCGTCGTCCACAAGCAGATAGGCATCAAACCACTCGTTGGGCAGCAGCCTGCGGGGCGGGAGGGTGTGGGGGGAGGGGGTCTTTTCGCAGCCAGGACAGGGCCTGCAGGGGCACGCGAGGCGGGCGGCTCCTGTGCGTCACACAGTGGCTGGGGTGCCCCAAGGGGCATGCGAGGCCGGCCAGCCCACCCCAAGCAGCTGTGCCCCATGCCTGGAAAGCAAGTGCATGCGCTGAACCGCAGGCCGGGCCCGCGGCGGCACGCCGCTACCACTGCGCACTTGTTGATGAAGCGGGCGTGGCGGAAACGGCGCCGCCAGCTCCGGCGCCAGCTCCCCGCTGGCCAGCGCCGCCTGCAGCTCAGAGTTGAGGGCTGCCACAACCTCGGGCTCCAGGATCGCCTGCAGCGAGCCGCTGGCGGCGTAGCACGCGTCGCCATCCACCCGGCGCCCCGCCCGCTGAAAGATGCGGCTGTCGAGCACCGCCTGGTCGGTGGCCGCCACTCCCAGGTCTTCCTTCTCAAAGGGCTTGTGCCTGCCGGGGGGAGGGGCCGAGGGCATGAGCGTGAGGCTGGGCCAGAGAAGGCTGGGAGGCAGCTGGAGGAGCGCCCCGGCCCGCCGCAGGCCACAGGGCCTCAGCCGGCGCTCCGACAGCGATCCAACCGCGGCTGGCACGCGCACCCGAATTGCCGCTCGTACTCCCTCTGGCCCTTGGGCCCTGGGCCGTAGCGAAAGGTGTTGCCTGTAGGGTGGTGCTCCGGGTTGCTGCGCAGCACGCCCCTAGGCGCCCATCAAGTCGCTGTTGGCTGCGCGGTGCGCGAGGCAAGCGCTCCAAGAACAGAAGCGGGCCTGGGCGGGCCGGCACAGCGTCCGCAGCGGCGGCGACCAAGCCTGTGAGCCCCACGCCAGTTTTCCCCTCCCCGGCTCCGGGTACTGTTGCCCTGATTAAGGCCGTTACATTGTCAGATTGCTCCTAAAACTACAGCAAGGCAGAAGAAGAAATGGCGGATCGTCCAGCGAAGGGACATGAAGACGCTGGGCACGGGCGGCGCCGCTGTGCTGGGGCGACGCGCTCACTTGCGGCCAATCTGCGTTGTGGGCGGGCGGAGAGGGGCGACGGGTTTGAGGCCGGGGGGCGCGGCGGCGGGTTTGGACAGAAGAGCCAGGGGACGGGCAGAGCACGCAACCCATTGCGCAAGGAGTGCCACTGCCGTCGCCGCCGCACGCTATCGCAGCGCGTGCCACGTGCGGCCCCCCTAGACGCACCTTCTTGCCGGCGATGGGCTTGGCCTTGCCTGCGGGGAGGGCAAATAGATAAAGAATTAGTAATATGGAAGAATTAGTAATATGTAATATCTATACTATCTAATTTTCAGCCGATCCGACACCACCGCCGCTCCCAGCCCATACGACGCAGCAGCGTTCCGACCTTTACGCGTCCGAGCGTTGTTCTTGGTGCGCTGGCCACGCACGGGCAGGTTCTGCAGGGGGAGTAGGGGCAGGGAAGGGGTGCAGGGTGAGGCAACAGGTTGCGCGCGCGGCAGGCGCGGCGTCGCAACCAACCACCGTGCGCCGCTCCGCCGCCGGCGCCAGGCCCCGATCCCCCCCTTCCAATGCCCCCCCCACCCCCGCGCGCGCGCGACACACGTTGTAGTGGCGACGGCCGCGGTAGCAACCAATCTCTTTCAGCCGCTTGATGTTGAGCGCGTTGAAGCGGCGCAGGTCGCCCTCAACAGTGTAGCGGTCCACCTCCTCACGCAGGCGTGTCAGCTCCTCCTCGGACAGGTCCTGCGCAGGCGTGGCAGAGGCAGGTGTTTTTGGGCGCAGGGTTTATGAACCCTGAAGCATCTCGTGGAAAGATCGAGAGGGAAGCGAGGGGCTGATGGGTGACCACTGGCCAGCTCCAAGCCCACACAGCAGGGCTGCAGCTGGCAGGCCCAGTCCAGGGATTGCAACGCATCCCCTGCCGTAGACATTCAATCTGACTCCTGGTGCGGATCGACACACCCTGCTGCCATCCCGTCAGGTATGTGTCACTGGCTGCTCCAGGGCCCCTGGGGGTCCCTCAACCCAGGCTGCAACAACTGCTGATACTTCTCGACTCAGTTGCCGGCCAACATCTGCTGCAGCAACGAGCCAAAGGGTGAGCGGGGGTCCCGTACCTTGGTGCGCTTGTTCTCCACGCCGGTGGTGACCAGGATGGCCTTGGCGGTCGTGTGGCCGATGCCAAATATGTACTGCAGACTATACTCTACATACTTCTGGTTGGGCACCTCCACGCCGCCAATGCGCGCTGCCTGGATGCGCAGTGGCGTACGGCGCGGGAAGGCAGCCTGCACGGGTGCAGGCACAACATGTGGTGGCACCGCGACGGGAAAGCAACCGTCGCGCACATCCAGCACACTCCTTGTCAACAAATGCTAGCTGCGCTGTTTGCTGCAGAGGGTTGCAACAGAAGCGGATCGCCACAAACGACCCAACTCTAGCCTTGCAAAGCAGCTGCCTGATGGACGGAGGTAGGGTGCCTCGCTGGCGGCGGCCGCGGCCAGCCCTACCTTCGCTGCCCTGGCCACGGGTGCTGCTGCCTGGAACGGCGCTGCTGCCTTGAAGCCTTCAAAGGATTTCAGAGCCTGCAGTGGTGTGGAGACACAGAGATGGGCCTGGCACACCACCGGTTCACGCGCATGTTGGCCCAAACATCTCGCAGTACACACCTGACTGCTGCTGCTGACGGACAGCCTGGATAGCTGCTGCGCGAGGGAGAGCACCATGCTTGCAGCCCGTTCTCCACCGCTGCGCTGCCCTTTCAGCAACTTTTTACAGACAACTGCGGCGCCAAGGTCCCGAGATGGTGGCAAGGTACACATATATGGTCCCATGGCTGGTGGCAGCCTGGGTCGGACCGTGGCGCCCGTTCCCCCTGCCTGCCTGCAATCTATATCACGGGCTGTCCAGTTTCTGATTCTGCTTGATGAGGGATGCGAGTGTTTAAAGCCCGTGCTGCCCGTCGCTTGCGGGTGGCCCCAGACCCCTTTTGTTGCAACTGTACAATTGTTCAGCTAAACTGTACAGTTGTTCAGCTATATTGTGAAGCAAGAGTTAAGCGAAAGACCGCAGAATGTGCCAAGGACCAAAACTGCCTGCCGCCGGCATCGCCGCCGCCCCTGCTACAGGTTCTTGCGCCGGGCGGTGGTTGCCATAGCGTCGTCGACAAAGCTGAAGGTGATGTCCTTGGGACTGTCAATGATGCCGCTACTGCCCAGCATGGAAAGCGCACCTGCAGGGAAGAATCCAATTCGGCTGGCTCAAGGACTGATGTCCCAGCCAGCTGCTGCACCCAAATCATTCATGCTTGCTGGACACTCACCCCCATTGAGCGACGGCTGCTGGCCATGCTGCTGTGCACCGCTCCTGGGCAGCTTGCAGAACTGCGGATCTTGCATGCTGATGGTGCTGCCACCGCTGTGAGGCCCATGGCTCATCTGGCTGCGAAGGGGAACTGGCTGGTGCCCGCCAGGCTCCTGCACCCCCGACGGCGCTGCCTGCCACCCAGCGAGCAGGCCCCCCAGGCTGGCCAGTGCAGCACCAGAGGTTGCTGCACTGTCAGTTGTCAGCGATGCGGCGCCCAGCAGATCTCCCAGGCCGCCCCCCTGCGCTGGTGCTGCCGCTGTCACTGCTCGTACTGGTGCAGGGGGAAGGACTGTGCTCTCGAGCGACAGCCCGCCAAGCAGGTCAAGGTCAGAGGCTCCGGCTACGGGGGGCTGGGCATGCGCCTGCTGATCTGCCAGCAGCATGCCACCGAAGGGGTCTGCTGCAGCAGCGAATGCTGGCTGTGATGCCGTCCCAGTGCTAATACAAGCAGACACATCAAGCCCGGCTAAGAGGTGCGATGCTGCGGGTGCAGCATTAGCACTGGCGCTGCTAGGTGCAGGCTGGGCAGCAGATTCGCCCAACAGGTCTGACAGGGAGGCAGCTGCCGCACCAGCCGGATCTACCTCTCCCAGCAAATCCCCTGTGAACAGCTGCGGAGGCGGCTGCTGGCTGGCCCCTCCTGCATCACTGCTGTACCATGCTCCCAGCACAGAAAGCACCTTTTGTGCCCGCTGCCGCACACTAGCTTGTGGGCTGTCGGCTGCACGCCGTACAGCCTCTGGGTGCGCCTGAAAGTGCACAGCCACCTGACCACATGCTGCGCTGCTGCCGCTCTCTGCCACTGCTTCGATGGCACACAGCGCACGCAGCGTGGACTGCCATGGCCCAACCTCCTGCACAGTAAACGGGAACAGGTTGCATAGCTGCTCACTAGGTTGGATAGCTGCTCACCGGGCTGAGACCTGCTGAGATAATGTAAATTCGCACAGATCACCTAGGAAAAATGCACTCACAAGCTTGCGCTCCAGCAGCTGCGCTACGCTTGGCCCATCCAGACCGGAGATGCCATCCACAAATGCCTGAAGGTCATCCCGTCCAGGCGCCGCTCGAAGGCCGGCAGGGGTGCAAATGCGATCTACTAGTCGTTGCTCTGCTGCCCCGCCTGCTGCTGGAGTGTGCTGCCCACTTCGTGCAGCTGTCGGGGCTGCTGCACTGCTGGCCGCGAGCAGTGGAGCGCCCACAATAGGCTGCCCTGCAACGAGTGCTGGCCGACCGCTGCCGGCAGCACCGGCAAACGTGTCGGCACCATCCACTGCCGAGGCACTGTAGCCATCCTACACTCCAGACACACCATTAGGTGCTGCATCAGCTCAGGTAGGCAGTATCCAAGCCTACACTCCCAAAAAGCAAGTAACAAAACAATACAACTTCAACTGCATGCTCGCTCGCCCACACACCTGGCGCAACAGCCCGCCCGCTTTGTCACTTAACCTGCGCATGCCAGAGCTGACAGTCTGCATGCCCGATTGCAGCACATCTGCACTGCCAAAGCCCACCATTCGGCTGCTGCTGCTGCTGCCTCCTCCCGCTGAATCGCTTCCAAAACCCATGCTGCTACCATAGCCGCCGCCACCGCTGCCAGGCGCATCGCTACCAAAGCCTTGGATGCGGCCCTGTGGCATGGGGTTGCACGGCTGATGAGAGCAAGGCAGCGGCTCGAGTCCGGGCTGCCAAATCATTTGCTAGCACATGAGCGTACACAAGTCGCACGAAGACATGTCAGGCAGCACATCACATTCAGAGCCACCAGCTGCACACCGCAAGGCCATGCGTGGCAGGCACCCCTGAATCGGGGGTGCCGTGGATGGCATTCAGCGCCTCTTGGGCATACTCCTGCACGCGCTTCCACACCGTGTCCCCCTTGAAAGGGTCTGGGTCGCAGCGATAGTGCAGTAGGTCGCGCACAGCACCGCTCCGGCGTGCCATCAGCCGCCGCAGGTCGGACGAGCCCTTGCGTCCGATATGGGTGACCAGCTTGAGCGCCTGGTGCAAAGGGTTTTGCGGAGTGAAAGCCGCGCAGCAGGTGCCCAGGCAGAGGCAGGTGGGGGTGCGAACGGCAGTAGAGAAGGCGGGCAGATGTGTGAGCACAGGCGGGCAGCTGTCTGAGAAATCTGCCCGGTCTCTGCACACCTTTTGCTTGACTTCCGGATTCCTGTGAGCGAGCCGCCCGACAACGGCGTCCACCCCTGCCCGGGTGTCGCCGTCCGCCAGAGCGGCCACCACCTCATCCAGCATGTATACTGCAGCGGCAGGAAGGCAGTGGTGCGTCGTGTGCCATTCCTTTCTTGGATGCGGTGCTGTCGAGGAGCAGCGAGCACCGCCTGCTGCCCCTGCCTCCCCGGATATAATCCGACCATCACGCCTCCTTTTGGCTGCGGCGCTGGCGCCTGCTGCCTACCCCCCAACCCCCACCCCCACTGCCTGCAGCACGCTCCGCTAGCTGCTGAGCCGGTTTAACAAGGGACCTCCAGTGATCGGGGAACGCACTGGGCGTGGGATCATCGGTGCTAGAAGTGGCCTGCTCCACCAGCAGCTTCGTCTTGGCCCAGCCCACCCAGGCGCCCACCAGTTCTGACATGGGACGCGATCACACTTCTCACACAGAGCCCAGACTTCCTCCCATCGGGTGGAGACCTTTGGTCATGCTGAGCTCCCCAATCAGTGCTCTGACAACCGTCGAAGGATTAGGACGGCAGAAAGAGGCCGGCCCTGAAAACCCCATGGTGCCTGTCCTGGTGGCGGGCTTCCACTCCCGTGCACTCCATTCGACTGAACGAGCAGATTAACTCATCCCGTCCCGTGGCCTGTCGCCCTCGCTCTCTCCACGCCCGCCCCATTCCCGTTCCCTGCTTGTGTCGCCGGCTCCTGCTGCTGCTCCATCATGCCGTCGAACGCCTGATCCTGGCGACCTGCCCGCATGGTCGCCCGGTGGCGCAATGTGCTCTGGCTCACGCTGGCGCTGGCGCTGTGCAGCGCTGTGCAGGGCAAGGGATCGCCAGAGAAAGACCGTGAGTGGTACTGCAGGGCGGCGCAGCGCTGGGGAATGCAAGCTGGTGTGCCCTCGAGTCGCACAACTCGGCCCCAGCTCCCCCCTGCGGCACGGCCCGTGCAGGCGACATACTGGTCAAATTCCGGGACAGCATCAAAAATTGGGCGGTGGTGAAGGCTGGGGGCAACCTGCAGGGTTGGGACGACGCCACGCCCGCCTACCTCTGGTCGGGCGTCGTGCTCGACTTTGAGCTGCGCGTGCGCGAAGTGTGAGTGCCCAAGATAAGCACATTGGGTGCTTGCCTGCGACGCCTGCGCAGCTGCAGTCTGGAATGCAATGCACAATACAGCGGGAGGGAGGGGTCGCGTGATTCTCGTCGGCTTAGCTGAGGGTAGCTTGGCGCTGGGCGTGTTCATGCAGCTGCCCGCTACCACGCATGCTCACCGTTGCCGCACATTATCCGCACACCTGTGTGTGTCTGAGGGTGATGATGCCCCCGTATCTTCTGTGCCCTCCTCAGAATGTGCCCGCTCACCCTGGCCCTCGCCGCCATTCACCTCCCCCTTTGCCTTGCAGCAACCTGCCCTGCTTCGATTTCATGTTCTGCACCGTGGCCCAGATCTCTGCAGAGGCCCCGGTCTTTGCCGAACTTGCCCACCTGGACCATCTGGAGCTGCTGTGAGGCGCTTGCCCGGGGTTGTGCGTGCCACCACAGCCGGCTGCTGCATTGCGGCCTGCTAATGACTTGTCTGACTACTGCTGACCATCTGCAGGCACTTGGGCGGCAACAACATCACTGGCGAGCTGCCTGATGCCTGGGCGGCGCTGGGCACCTTCCCCGCACTGCAGAGCCTGTCGTTGTCATCGGCACGGCTCAGCGGCACACTCCCACGCAGCTGGGGCGCTGCCAGTGCATTCCCGGCGCTCAAGATGCTGCTCCTCGACCAGAACCAGCTGCGCGGCAGCCTGCCAGTGGAGTGGGGTGCCAAAGGCGCTTTCGCAAGCCTGGAGCAACTGTGAGCACGTGGCGCTTTTTCCGCATGTTTGTTTGTTCCTAGTGCTCTAGCCCTCCTTACCCGACACTTCCGCCTGCCCCCTGACTTCCCCAATGCAGTGTGCTGGAAGACAATTCGCTCAGTGGAGCCCTGCCAGTGAATTGGGGACAGAGCCCCTCCTTCCCCCGCCTGCAAACGCTTGGGCTGGCGGGCAGTGGTTTGGGCGGCAGCCTGCCGCCTGGCTGGGGCGCTGATGGTGGATTCAGCGCCCTGCAGACGCTGTCTCTGGCTCGATGCGGCTTTCAAGGCGCCCTGCCTCCAGAGTGGGCCGCCCCGAGCCGCTTTCCAAAGCTGAACAAAATGTGAGGCTAAGGGAGGCTGTGCCAGGACCATGTAGATCTTGCTCTGACGCAGGCCAGCAGCGATGACTTAAAAGCCGGCTACCATATACATTTGTGCTCGTAGTTGGGCGCGCCTTGACGCCAAGGAGACACTGGTTTGACTACCAATTTGATTCGAGCGACATTGCCATTGCCCCCCACTTCCCAATCTGTCTGTAGTGAACTTCAAGGGAATGAGCTTACTGGCGGCCTACCGTCTGAGTGGGGCTGCAAGCATTGCTTCCCGGCGCTGGCCGAGCTGTGAGTGAAATAGTCGCTCAGGATGCTGTCCCAGCCTGTTGCAACCAAGTGCCTCACTTCACTGCTTTCGCTCCTGCCTGCCTACAGCTTTCCATCCGTCATGACCCACTTGTCCTCTTGCACCCATTTACTGGGGCAATCCTGCGCTTCCCTTGCTGCAGCATTCTGCTCAATAACAGCCTGAGCGGCAGCCTGCCAGACTCGTGGGGCATGCTAGGCGCGCTGCGTATGCTAGACGTGAGCGGCAACCGGTTGGAGGGGCAGCTCCCGGGCGGCTGGGCGGTGCCTGGCGCGCTGCCACAGCTGGCAACACTTAGCCTGGGGAGTAACAGCCTGGGTGGCACGCTGCCCGGCGCCTGGGGGGACCCCAGGGCGCTGCCCGCACTCTCTTGGCTGGACGCCAGTCATAACAACATCAGTGGCACCCTGCCCGGCCAGTGGGGTGCACCAAACTCTTTCCCCCGCCTGCGCCTCCTGTGAGTGCGCAACTGCTGGTTGTGCCATACATTACGCTGCATGGCGGGCACATGGCTGCGAGATGGCGGTGTGCAATTGCTGTCCTTCACCTTCAGTTGCAACTCTGCTGGGCACTCATTCTCCCCTGCTCCTCCGCCACTCCCCCCTGTCAATCCTGCAGCTACTTGCAACACAACAACCTCAGCGGGCCGCTTCCCTCCAACTGGAGCTTTAACAGCACCCTGCAGCAGCTGTTTACTCTGTGAGTGAGAAAAGTTGTTTTGCTCCCTGCAATGCCTTGCATGTGCGTTGAATTGATCGCTGCGCTTCCGTATGAATAACCTGCCTTCCTGCTCATGCCTGGCGCTGCCCTCCCCCAAACACCCTCGCCCGCAGCTCTTTGGCGCACAACCACTTCACTGGCAACCTGCCTAATGCCTGGGGCGCCACAGACAACTCCCTGGCAGCTCTGTACATCCTGGACGTGGGATTCAACCAGCTTGATGGCTTGCTGCCCGCTAACTGGGGCACCTCCCGCTCCGCCCTCTCCTCGCTCACTTCCATCACTATTGCTGGAAACAACTTCACCGGAGAAATCCCGCCCAACTGGGGCCTGCTACAAGACATGCACTATCTGTGAGCCACCGCTGCATTCATGCCACTGGTTGCTGCTGGTTGCTGTGCCAGCATTGATGGCTCCAACACTGGCTCAGGATGGCAACTCACCATGCGCTCGTGTACTCACGCCCTGAATCTACCCCAATGCCCACGCAATGCCCCCTGCGCTCTTTCCACGCCTGCAGTGTGCTTGCCCCCGGCAACCCTACTGTGTGCCGCCCATTGCCATGTGTCGGCCAGTTTGTGACCTGCTATGGCGAGGACAGTGCCACCTGCCAAGAGCCCGTGCAGGTAAGCCAGTATTGCCATCGTGCTTATAGGCTGGTAATTGGCCGGATCCCGCCAATGCAGCCCTTGCTTGGTACTGCAGCAGCTTGATTGCCTTTTTGCCGTCTGAATTATCTTTGCCTCTCACCCTCGCTCCTCCCCACCCTGCAGCTGCGCTCCAACTGCTCCTCCGATCTGCCAGGCTGGGTCCCCTACGCCCAGCAGCCTCGGGACGCGCCAGGTCTCACTGGCCTGCAGATTGGGCTGATTGCGGCGGGGGCCAGCCTGGTGGCGGCCTGCGGCATGTTGACTGCGGTGTTGGTGCTGCGTTGGCAGGAGGCGCGGCGTTGGCAGACTGTCAAGGGGCTGGATGCTGAGCTTGCACTGGTGGGTCGAGTTGGCCCTTGGAAATCAGTCATGCATGCTGCACGCATCCACCGACTGGCCACTTCTCAGCTCACCTCCTCCACCTGCGCTTGTTCCCTTGATTCTTTCGCTCCTATGGGTTGGGTCTATCACGGACAGCCTGGTTGATTGCCATTCTGGTCTTGCTTGGGTTTTCCACCCCATTTTGACCACACTGCCTTGTCCCTCCCTGCAGCGCGGCAGCACCGACCCGCTGGCAGACCTGATTGCGGCGGCGGCAGCACGCAAGCGTGGCCGTGGCCAGCACTCTGCTCTTGCCACCAAGCTTCTCAAGGAGTGTGCCATTGATCACAAAGACGTCATGTTCTGCCGCGGGCCGGATGGGAACCTGGTACAGCTGGGCGCAGGCGCATATGGCCAGGTGCGTGTTTGATTGTGGACCTTGTTTTGATGGGGTTAGGTTTGGGATGTGCGCATGTGAATGAAGTGTGTGAAGCACATCCCGTGGGCTTGCCCTGATCTGCATCCGCACCTGTGTGTTCTCCCAGCCATGCATGCTCCTCCATTCCTGCAAGCTGCGCAGGTCTACAAAGCTTTCCTGTACGGCGTGCACCCCGTGGCGGTCAAGGTGTTCCAGACGCAGGACGATGTGCCGGCTGACGACTTTTGGCGCGAGATCTCCATCCTGCGCACTTGCCGCCATGGCAACATTGTGCAGTTCCAGGTGAGACGCACATTTCGAAGGGAGTGGAGACTTGCTGGGCCCACAATGTTGCAGTTGAACGTCGAGTGATGGCGATTTGAGAGGGCATCATTCCGTGGCGCGGTGATCTTCCAGCATAGTGGTGCCTCTCGTCGCCAAGAAGCGTCCACCGGATGATTCGCTTGTTTGCCCAGCGCATGCTGGGCTGATGCTCGAAAAGCGCTTCATAAGCATCAGCTTGGTGCTGACCCATTGCTGTATGTCTGCTGCTGGGCAGGGTGCCTGCGTGGATGGCGACACCACGATGATGGTGACGGAGCTGTTGGATACAGACCTGTACCGCGCGCTGCAGGTGCATCGTACAGCAGGATGTTGGGGGAGATGGCAGGGCCTGCCATGCGCGCGCTTTCTGCAGTGTTTTATCATGGCTGCAAGCTGGTATCCCTTTGCCACAATTGAGGGCGCCCACCAACCATGCATGTTTGTTGTGTGCAGCTGAACCGCGTTAACTGGTACAAGCACGGGCTGGATATCGCCATCGATGTGGCCCAGGCCCTGCACTTTTTGCACTGCCGCAACATCATTCACTTTGATTGCAAGTCACCCAACATCCTGCTCTCCACAACCAACTCCGCAAAGCTGGCAGGTGCGGATGGTGCCTGGGGATGGAATCAGAAGGTGTTTGAATATGTAGCGGTTTGCAGGGGAAGTGTGGCAGCAAATTATTACCATCAACATAAGCTGGTGCACTTACGTCCCATCTTGGTGCCCCCCCCCCCCCCCCACAAACCACGGT